GAGACCCCAACAAGCCTTTGAAACCCCAACGTCGCCAGCCTGCGAAGCGGCCGCTTGCCCCGAAGGGCGACGGAAGCCGACGGGTTCGTTAAGTGGGCTCACGACAGCTCGTTAGCCCCTCCGGACGTACGTGGGGTGCTGGGGATGATCATGGCCGGGCACTCCTTGTCCTTCAGCACCTCGATGGGAGCCTGGATGGGGACAGAGCTGGACGTCAACGCTTCGGGCAGGAATTACCGCCCTGGGAGAACGCCAGAGTTGCCGGGGCCGGCGGGGGAACGCCGCCGCGCTGCCCACCACCCACCTTCTGCAGGTTTTTGAACTCGGGGACGCAGAATTGCCGGTAGTACCCCAGCTCGGCGGGCGTGCGGGAGCCGTAGGCACTCAGGTACGTCAGGTACCGGTCCGGACATTTGCTGACGCAGATCTGGATGGGAGAAGAGGACATGTGAAGGTGCCGCTACACCGCAAACCCTTCGCCGTCAGCATTCCCCGGGGGCAGAGAGGAACCGTACGAAATTCAACAAGGGCGAGTGTGGGGTGCTGCGTCCGGGGAGGGATAACCCCCTGGTGGGTACGGGTCAGGGGTGACCTGCTGGAGAGCAGCTCTGGGGAAAGGGACCCGGGAGTCCCGGTGGCCAACGGGATGGCCACGAGGCAGCAAGGGGCCCTGGTGGCCGAGGCGGCCGAGGGCATCCCGGGGGGCATCAAGAAGAGCGTGGCCAGCAGGGGGAGGGAGGTCATCCTCCCCCTCTGCTCTGCTCTGCCCCGGGGAGGCCACATCTGGAGCGCCGTGGCCAGTTCGGGGCTCCCCGCGTCCAGAAGGAGCGGGAACTGCTGGAGAGGGTCCAGCAAAGGGCTGCGGAGACGATGAGGGCACCGGAGCGTCTTTCTCCGGAGGAGAGGCTGAGGGACTCGGGGCTGTTGAGGCTGGAGAAGAGCAGCCGGAGGGGGATCTTCTCAGTCCTGAAGGGAGGGTGCCGGGGGATGGGAAGGGTCTGTTTCCAGCGGTGCCCAGTGAGGGGACGAGAGGGAACGGGCACAACCCTGAGCGGAGGGAGTTCCACCTCACCCTGAGGAGGGCCTTCTCTGCTGTGAGGGCGGCAGAGCAGTGGCACGGGCTGCCCAGAGAGGTGGGGGAGTCTCCCCCTCTGGAGCCATCCCAAACCCGCCCGGACGCCGTCCTGTGCCACTGCTGGAGGTGCCCCTGCTCTGGCCGGGGGGGGACTGGGGGAGCTCCAGGGGGCCCTTCCAGTCCTG